CAATATCTCTACTCATTGAAGATTTGATGCAATGCGCTGGTGTGTACTCTTGCGCTCGTTCCATCGTGTCCAATGTCCTAGTTCCCTGAGCTAGCTTGTGATCTGGAACTGCGGCTTGTGTACAGATGCATCCGTGTAGTGGTCGAGGTTGATCTGACATGATGAGGTTGTACGGGTGTCTGTTCATTGCATCCCGAGGTGATCAGTGATCAGTGTACTGCTTCTCTGTACATTGCTGTAGATTTTGTCTTATGTCTGTGGTGTGTGCTGTCTGGGCTGCGAGTGGTGTGTGCTGATTGTAACAGAGGATCTTTTTCCCAACTTGCTGTTGCTGCAATTTCCTTCTGAATGGACTGCACAGGAAAACTAGGAATTGAGAAGGGCGAATGGGTCCATTTCAGAAGATATTTCTGGACAGCTTGAAGCCATGAAGTTAGAAGACCAGTCACTACCGCGTGTGCTTTGGCGTCTGCAACTCTTGGTGAGGTCCTTGTGTGATAAGCGACTTCCTGTGAGCAGTGACTTTTGTTATACGTGATGGGGGTGTGGATTTGCCATTGGTTAAATGATTTGAGTTGGTTTCTCTCCCTGGCGTGACCTGTAACCGCAGTTAAGGATTGTTTTCTGTCCATAACAAGATTTTTTCTTATCGTTCCTAGTTGCCGACGTACCTGCTACATCCCAGAGTGTGCAGTGGGACTGCTCTGCCTTAGTCCTGGCCACAGTTGTTTGCGCCTCGTGATTTCTTGTGGCAATGGTATCGCAGAGTATCTATGATCTGGAGTGAGTAAAGCTGGCTATCTACAGTGTTGACAACGACTGCGGTGGCGTAACCTGGGGATGCTTGGAGCGGACGTGGAAGTGGTGAAAGCTGAAGAGACTGCGTGGACCGCTCAGTAAGGGACTCTGATAGAAACTTCCTCTCGGCATCTGGTAGCTACACTGTCTGGCTGCAGCTCTCTGTGGTGTGCTTTGCATTGTCCTTGTGCATCGTGAGGCATGTTCATGGTATCCGTGTATGTGTACCCTAAGGTTTACCGGCGAGAGCCTCGTGGTGCGGCAGGAGGATGCAAGGATGTGGATGCACAAGCGCCTTCAAGAGGTAACCTTGGGATGCTTGCAGCAGACGTGCAAGAGATGAAAGGTGATGGTACTTTCCTTTGGTCATGACTCTCTTCGGTGGGATTGTGATAGATATTTATCATCCCTCAGCGCAGGCATTGATGGACGTGTTAGTAGCGTTTGCCATGACTGAAAGGCACCCGCCTGTCGTGTATTTTTCATCGTTAGCGAGACAAGTGGTTTGGTTTAGCATGCCGTGGGCCTTCTCTGTGTTAGTTCCGGCGGCAGTTGTTCACCTTTGGTCGTTTCTTGTGCCCATGGTATTGCAGAGTAGCTATAATCTGGAGAGCGTAAGGGTGCCGATCTGCGGCGTTGACAGTAACTGCGGTGGTATAACCTTGGGATGCTTGGAGCAGGCGCGAAGGTGGTGAAAGTTGAAGACACTGCATGCACGGGTCAGTAAGGGACTCTGATAGAAACTTGCTCTTGACATCATGTGGCTACACCGTCTGGCTGCAGCTCTCTGTGGTGTCCTTCGCATTGTTCGTGTGCATCATGAGGCATGTTTGTGGTATGCGTGTATGTGGCCCTTTATTTTTGCCGGCGAGAGCGTGTCTTGCCATGGCAGGAGGATGCAAGGATGTGGATCCACACCTTTTCGAGCGCCCACGAGAGGTAACCTTGGGATACGTGGAGCAGATGTGCAAGAGATGAGAGATGATGGCACTTCCCTTTGGATTCCGTTGAGATTCTGTGATCAGCGTGGGGAGATTCGTGATAGTTCCTCATCATCCCTCAGCACAGGCATTGATGATCGTGTGAGTAGCATCTGACAATATCCCGAAAGGCTCCTGCCTGTTGCGTTTTTTTCATCGTTAGTCAGACGAGTGGTGTGGTTTGTGACGTGCAAGTGGGCATCCACCACCGTACCGTGATTGCTCTCCTGTTTCATAGTGTCTGACATTCCCGAAAGGCACCTGCCTGTCGTTTTTCTTACTTGTTAGTCAGAGAAGTGTGGTTTCTGACGTGCAAGTGTGCATACACGACTTGAAATTGATTGCACACCTGGCTCGAACCCTCGTTAGTGAGACAAGTGTGGTTTCTGCTGACGTGCAAGTGTGATCCACTATTGACCTTGATTTCAATGGTAGTCAGACAAGTGTGGTTTCTGACGGGCAAGTGTGTGCATCCACAACTTTACCTTGATTGGGCGCGTGGCTTGAACCCTCGTTAGTCAGACAAGTGTGGTTCCCGACGTGCGAGTGTGCGTTCACGACTTTACCTTGATTGCACATGTGGCTCGAACCTACTGTGTGAAGAGCGAAGAACTCGCTCACTCCGCGCCCCACACACCTCGGTAGATGGTTTTGCACTTGACGGGTTGTTGGAGGCCTCCTTGTGGGACGTATCAATCACTGACTGGAGCCCTGCATGGGTGTCTTGTCGCTTTCTCGACTGTCACATGCCTGCAGCCATCCAGGCAGCCATGCAGTAGTGATGTTTAATGGGGCTGTCCACCTGTCGTTGCTTCTTGTTTTTTCCTCTGCTGATGTGGGCAGGGATGGTGTGGACCATAAAACCAGGGACGGTGTTGAACGTAAACGGCGGAGGGTTGCATGTTGGCAGGTGTGTGGAAAAGTCTTAGCTCCGCGGATCGCCTCTGCGTAGTGTGGGCGCGGTTGTTTGCGTCCTGTTTTCTCCCTGAATTATGCTTGCAGGCATTTTCATGACCACTCTGTTTGCAGATGTCAGGACATCATGGTCGACCATTCGTAGGGCGAATGCATTGTAATGGACCGAGGAAAGTGTTGTCGCCGACTGACAAAACTGCCGTCTTCTGTCCGACGTGTAATGAAAGACTGCCCGCTAAGTCTTGTCTTGACCGAACATGGGTGACTTGCCCATGTCGTTCCACTCCTGATGTGTCTCCTTCGTCATTTGGGTGATGTCCCTGACTAGAGAGCAGAAATGGCACAGCATGCTCCTCTGGAAATTGATTCCCGATGTAATCGGGACTGGTTTTTGCTTGTGGATGACTTGTCGTATCGGACAGGAGTTAATGGAACAGTTGACCTGAACTTCTAACAGGTTGTGAAAGTGGTGTCGTCGTCCACGATGCCTGTGGTACCGACAACAGGGTGGGGCGTTGTCTGGTCAATCCCTGAGTAGGCTGGACTTCTCCTTCCAGTGTTTTCCCTGAACTGCACCGTCCTTGCACTTGGTGAAGGTTTTTTTTTTACGGAGCTTTTGGAGCTGTTGCCCGTCCATGGTTGCACCTGTTGGTGAGGGTGGTCGGATGTGACGCCCTTAGCCAGGCCTTGCAGAAGTTTGTACACGGCGCTCCGGAAGGTGCACGAGGTCTTGGATCAGGAGAAGCCATGCTTGGTGTGGTTGTGCGACACCCCTTGATTTCCTCCGTTGTTTTCTAAGGCTGGTGTGGGCTTGCTTCCTTGTCCTGGTTTGTGGACGGCATGGGCAGATGGGGGAGATTGAGCAGTCCATTCGGAGCCGACTGAAACTGTAAAAGGATGTACTGCCATGCTTGTTCTCGGAGACCCTTTGATCTTCGTCTCGAAAATGCAGGTGGTCAACGTTACCTTTTGCATTGTTTTCGGACGAGTGCACAAGATCTCTACTCGTTAAAGATTTGATGCAATGAGCTGGTGTACTCTTGCGCTCGTTCCATCGTGTCCAATGTCCTAGTTCCCTGAGCTAGCTTGTGATCTGGAACTGCCGCTTGTGTACAGATGCGTCCGTGTAGTGGTCGAGGTTGATCTGACATGATGAGGTTTGTATGGGCCGCACTGTACGGGTGTCCGTGCATTGCATCCCAAGGTGATCGGTGATCGGTGTACTGCTTCTCTGTACTTTGCTGTAGATTTTGTCTTATGTCTGTGGTGTATGCTGTCTGGGCTGCAAATGGTGTGTGCTGATTGTAACAGAGGATCTTTTTCCCAACTTGCTGTTGCTGGAATTTCCTTCTGAATGGATCGCACAGGCAAACTAGGAATTGAGAAGGGTCAAGGGGTTCATTTCAGAAGATATGTCTGGACAGCTTGAAGCCATGAAGTTAGAAGACAACCAGTCACGACCGTGTGTGCTTTGGCGTCTGCAACGCCTTGGTGAGATCCTTGTGCGATAAGCGACTTCCTGTGCGCAGTGACGTTTTTGTTTTATGTGATGGGGGTGTGGATTTGCCATTGGTTTAGTGATTTGAGTTGGTTTCTTCCCCTGGTGTGAACTGTAACCGCAGTTCTGTAAAAAGTGGTTATAGTCAAAATACAAAGGATTGTTTTCTGTCGACAATGAAATTTTTTCTTGCCGTTCCTAGTTGCCGACATATCTGCTATGTCCCAGAGTGCAGTGGGACTGCTCGGTCTGAGTCCTGGCCACAGTTGTTTGCGCCCAGTGGTTTCTTGTGCCAGTGGTATCGCAGAGTAGCTATGATCTGGAGTGCGTAAAGGTGGGGAGCTGCAGTGTTGACAGCAACTGCTGTGGCGTAACCTTGGGATGCTTGGAGCGGACGTAGAAGTGGTGAAAGCTGAAGAGACTGCATTGACGGCTCAGTAAGGGACTCTGATAGAAACTTAGCGAGATTAGCGATGTAACTCCAACGCCATATAACGGAGATTAGCCAGATTAGCAATATAACGGAGATTTGCGATATAACGGAGATTATCGCAACTCCTACGCCACATATCGAATGTCGTCCTCCTAAGAAACGCCGCGTATAGAGAGAGCAAGAGAGAGAGAGAGAGAGAGAGAGAGAGATCCAACTACGCTCCTCCACCCCACCCCCTCCCAGAAACACGATCAAGTGTAGTATCTGGTTGGATCAGTTTCATATCCGATCCTCTCCCCCCGCACGCTCAAGCGTAGTATCTGCTCTGTTCGGTTTCATATCTGATCCATGGTCTATTGAGACCTTTTTTATTTGAAAAATAAAAGGCACGCGTGTACGACTGACAGAGAGAGAGAGGGAGAGAGAGAGGGGGAGAGAGAGAGCCCAATCTAACCCAACTAAGCTCCTTCCCTCCCCCCCACCCACCCCCTCCCAAGGAACACGATCAAGTGTAGTATCTGGTTCGATCAGTTTCATATCCGATCCTCTTCCCCCGCACGATCAAGTGTACTATCTGCTCCGTTCGGTTTCATATCTGATCCATGGTCTATTTGACCTTTTTTATTTAAAAAAAAAAAAGCGCGCGCGTACGACTGAGTTGAGAGAGAGGGAGAGAGGGGGAGAGAGAGAGAGAATCCAGTCTTGCCTCCCGTCCCGCTCCCCCCGGCCCCCCAAAAACACGATCAAGTGTAGTATCTGGTTCGATTGGTTTCATATCCGATCTTCTCTCATCATCAAGCCGTAGTATCTGCTCCGTTAAGTTTGATCCGTGGTCTATTGAGACCTTTTTTATTATTAAAAAAAAAAAAGCACGTGCGCAGGAGCGAGAGAGAGAGAGAGAGAGAGAGAGAGAGAGAGAGAGAGAGAGAGAGAGAGCATCCAATCTTGCCTCCTCCCCCCCACCTGCCCCTGCCCCCCCCACAAACACACTATCAAGTGTCGTATCTGCTTTGGTCAGTTTCATATCCGATCTTCTCACATCATCAAGCCGTAGTATCCGCTCCGTCATATCCGATCCGTGGCCCATTGATATCTTTTCATTTAAAAAAAGAAAACCAAAAGCATGCACGAACACAAGAGAGGGAGAGCAAGAGAGAGCGAGGGAGAGAGAGAGAGAGAGAGAGAGAGAGAGAGAGAGAGAGAGAGAGAGAGATGCTATGCCCATCCCCCCTCCCCCCGACGATCGAGTGTAGTATCTGCTTCGATCAGTTTCATAGCCCATCTTCTCCCATGATCATGCGTAGTATCTGCTCCATTCAGTCTCATATCTTTTCGAGTCCTTTTTATTTTATAAAAGAAATAGAAAAGTATGCACGAGCAAGACGCGGAAGAAAAAGGGAGAGAGAGAGAGAGAGAAAGAGAGAGAGGTCCATCGAGATGGTTTAAATGCACACGAGCAAGATGCGGGGGGGCGGGGGGGGGGGAGAGAGAGAGGGAGAGAAAGGGGGAGAGAGAGAGAGAGAAACCCGTTGTAACCAACTGCGTGTCCGCTGCCCCCCCCCCCAAACACACGAGTAAGTACAGCATCTGCTGCGATAAGTTCCGTGGTTCATTGAGACGGTTAAAAAGGGGGGGGGGGGGAAGCCTGTGCGCGAACCAGAGAGAGGGAGGGAGTAGACATGGGCTTGATCAGGATGGTTCCATCATGACCAATTAAAAAGAAAAAAAAAGTGGAAAATCTGCAAGCCTGTGTGCGAACCAGAGAGAGAGATTGGAGTGTCTATGCACAAGAACCAGATTCAATGAACCATTTATTTGGGACTTCTGAAGGTGCAGGCATCGAACCTGAGTAGAGTCTATTCCAAATTCCCAACGGTGGGAACGAGTTTGTGGTGGCTGGCTGAATCAAGTTCTCCTGTGGAACTGAACCTGCAGGGAAGAAGCACAGAGATGTGAGCTGGAGGTGTATCGGCCAAGCAAGAAACACGTCAGCTACCGGGAAAATGTCTTGCTCGCTTACATGTCTGCATTAACGTTGCGACCTGCAGGGAGAACATAATTGGCATTTGGTGTTGTGCAGGCCGTCTGACGAGCTGGTGCGTGTGAAATCACAAATGGTGAAAGGGTACACAGAGATGGAGCTGGAGGTTTGTCTGATAATCGAGAAACATCTCACTTTCTATCAGGAGGAGAAGGTTAATGCATGTGGAAGCCGCTTGGGATCAGCTATCTGTACGGTGCCTTGTCGTTTGTAACCTAATCTGTGCAGCACTTTAACCATTTGATATATCTTGGAGGATTGAATGCCCAATAGACACTCCCGGGCGTGTCGTGTGGCTACCACACTACTAATTTCTCATAGTGTTGTCTATTTTGCGATTAGAAGGCAGAGCAATTGCTGAACCATTGCGCGCTGCAACACACAGAGGTGGAAATCCTAATGGTTAATTTTGGAGGATTGAATGCCCAATAGACCTTCCTGAGCTGCAACACACAGAGGTGGAAATCCTAATGGTTAATTTTGGAGGATTGAATGCCCAATAGACCTTCCTGAGCGTGTCTTGTGGCTACCACACTGTTAATTTCTCAAGTCTCTTTTGCGATTAGAAGGCAGAATAATTGCTGAACTATTACATGCTGCAACACACAGAGGTGGAATTCCGTTGGGCCTGAGAAAGTTTTGACATAATAATGGCACATTTGCTTAAAGTCCGCCGTTCGACAGTGCACTTGGCGGTGGTCTTCTGCCAGTTCTCTCTCTTCCTTTCAGTAATGGTGGCCAAGCCCCATGTGCGCATCCCCGACAATCTGGAGGATGTGGTTGATGATGAAGAGGATGAAGAATGGAGGCGATGGGGAAGGTTTAAATCATACCCTCCCAAGAACGATCCAGACACCTTGGTGGATTTCTCAGGAATGGGTGCAAATGAAGTTGTTCGGTCGTCTCGGCCAAGAGGTGCCATCTGCTTTGCAAAGCTTCGTGAAGGAGCCTTCGCCACAAAGGAGGAGACTCGAGCTGCGGGCACAAGGTGGAGTGATGTGATGCTCAGTGGGGGTTTGTACCATAAGTCATATGTTGTTGATGAAAACACTGTGGCCTTCACTCCCGAAGATACGGATATGGTTGATGAGATGAAACGTTTTCTGCTGCTCCAGCCAGAGATCAGCGAGTTCCAGTATGATGGAAAGAAGTATTACCCCGACCCCAGAGTCTACGATGAGCGTGAGAGCAGGCAAAGGAGAGAGGAATTATGAAATGATGTCTGGTCTGAGAATAGTGGCATTCACAACTGCAGGAATAATGACGAGAAATCGAAGCCTGATGAGAGTACGAGAAAAGCACTTCTGTTAAAGGCCTTAGGGTGGGAGAAGTGGAGATTCGGCAGAGTATCTGGTCTGAGAAGTGGGACTATAACAGGCAAAGGAGAGAGGAATTATGAAATGATATGCCGTCTGAGAAGTGGGACTGTAGTGACATTCATAACTGCAGGAATAACGACAAGAAACCAAAGCTCAATGAGAGTGCGAGAAAAGCACTCGTGTTAATAAAAGGGGAGAAGTGGAGATTCTCAGTATGAGCAGCTACTTCACGATGTTGTGCAGGTTTGGAGTTGTCATGTGTCGCAGTGGGAAATGCAGCTTACTGTAGAGGCAGGTGTTTAGCCTTTTTGGGAGTGGAAATTGAATTAGGGGTCCAGTTCGCAGTGTCTTTGAAAAGGATTGTGATCTGTGGATGAAAAAAAGTGTGCGGAGCACCACCTGATGAGTTTTGCGAGATGAAAGTAAGGTGGATTTTAGTGTGCCCTTTTCTAATCTATGTTGTTGCATCTAGAAGGTGGCTGTGAGCTGGGACTGCAATGGAGAGAGTGGCTATGGCAGAAGATAGAGATGGAGAGAGTTAAGCCTGAGGAGGCTGGCAGGATTCTCGAACAAGAGCAAACAATGCTTAATTTGGATGCTGTCGGGATCCTCGAACATTCTACTGACGATCAGAACAGCAGAACAGTCATGATGATGATGGTTCAGGAGTTTCACTATTTTTAAGTTTTCCGGAAGTCGAGAACCTTCCGAGGGAATGTGAAGAAAGACCGGAGGTGGGACTCCACGGCCTCTCTCACCCCATCGAAATCAGTTCTGAGGCGGGAGGTGAGAACTGTCTGTATGTCTCTTTACAATAACCATCCATCTGGGGGGAATTTTGGTCTATGTTGTGGGTGGGACTCCACGGGCTCTCTCACCCCACCGAAATCCGTTCTGAGGGCTTGCGAGGGGAAAAACATATGGTTCAGGGCGGGACGTGAGAACTGTCTGTATGTCTCTGTGCAATAACATCCAGCTGGGGGAAATTTTGGTCTATGTTGTGGGGTGAGCCTGCGGAAGGTCAAGTGTAGCCAGTATAGAGAGAGAGAGAGAGAGAGAGAGAGAGAGAGAGAGAGAGAGAGAGAAGAGAGAACTGTCTGTATATCTCTGTACACGCCTTATGATGTGCAGGCCAGTCCATCTCGCCAGATGCGACTGGCAAGCAGCTGTGACGTATAAAAACGGGGTTGGTTTCAACAGAATGCGATCTATTTGTGCACCTGCAGGCCAGTCCATTCCGCCAGATGGATTTCGCAAGCAGCTGTGTCATATGAAAATGGCTTTGGTTTGGTTTCAACAGAATGCGATCTATGTAACTGCAGGCCAGTCCATTCCGCCAGATGCATTTCGCAAGCAGCTGTGTCGTATAAAAATGGCTTTGGTTTGGTTTCAACAGATGCATTTCGCAAGCAGCTGTGTCATATAAAAAATGGCCTTGGTTTTGACAGAAGACTTTTCCGTAAATTAGTCAACAGTAAATGACAACAAGCATCGCCAGGTCCAGGTCCAATGTTGGACTGCCAGATGGAAAACAGCTGTGTCGTATAACAGTAGTGCAACTGCAGGCCAGTCCATCCCACCAGATGCAGCTCGCAAACAGCTGCGTCCCAAAAAAATGGCGGTTGTTACGCTCTTCCATAAATTAGTCGACCGTAAATGACTAGCGCTGCCGGTTCCAATGCAAGACTGCCAGATAGAAAACAATCAATCTAGCTCATTTTCCTGTCCTGCGGCGGAGCACAATGCCGAGTATCTGGGTACTGTCATGAAGAGTGGCAGTGGGAGCGGGCCCCGATGTAGAGTACCGCAGCAGTCAAATTCAATGACCGATTCGTTCCCTGTACCACACAAATCCGCTGTTGAGTACAAACCACTCACTCATCTCTGCCTTGTCACCCGCTCTCATCATGAATAACAACAAACAAAAATGCATGAAACAATGACCGATTCGTTCCCCGTAACACCAGCACACAAATAGCCAGCACTCAAATAGCCCTCCTTTCAGTCAAACCTCTCTTCTTGGTGGCATCGCTTGCAATGGTGATTCATCATCCGCTGTCGTGTACAAACCACTCGCTCGTCTCTGCCTTGTCACCCGCTCCATCTCGTCATGAATAACAGCAAACAAAAATGCATGAAACAATGACCGATTCGTTCCCCGTACCGCCAGCACACAAATAGCCCTGCTTTCAGTCATAACCTCCCTTCTCAGTGGCATCCCTAGTAGTGCAAATCGTCATAGCAGAAAAACAGATAAAAAAGTGGAAATGAATCGCGCTCCTTTCGCTTTACCAGAAGCGGAAGCTGAGTTAGTTGAAGGCTATAACATCATGGATGTTCAGAGGACCACATCAGCTATACGCCCATAGGCAAAAACGAAAAAAGTAGGCACAAATGGTTGGTAGAGGATTCCTCCTCCCTCTTTGGATCTCCCAACATCAGCTATACTATACCTCTCCCATCTCTATTGGCCATAGCAAAAAACGAAAAAAGTAGGCACTCCTCCGTTAAAAGAAATGGAGAACTCTCTCTCTCTCTCTCTCTCTCTCTCTCTCTCTCTCTCTCTCTCTCTCTCTCTCTCTCTCTCTCATTTTTACAATTAAGAAAAAACAATATTCATCCCATTTCTGCAAAAAAATTCTCATCCACCTGTGTGTGTGTGTGTGTGTGTGTGTGTGTGTGTGCTGTTTAGCGAGTGAGGAAGAGAGAGAGCAATGAGTATGAGTTCTCAAAAGCAGCACACACACACACAGGTGGATGATAATTTTTTGCAGAAATGGGATGAATATTGTTCTTTCTTAATTGTAAAAATGAGAGAGAGAGAGAGAGAATCGAAGGCTGAAAGATGCATCATCAATCAATGGATGATGGATCTGCAAAGGTTAATGGCGTACCTTTTGCATAATTGGTCAGCGAGTAAATTGATACAGCAAGCTTAAACCCTGTAGGCGTAATGAAATTGTAGATAGTTGTAGCAATTTGACCCGAAACCGGGTGATCTAGCCATGAGCAGGTTGAAGAGAGTCCTATCGGGCCTTGGAGGACCGAATCCACGTGTGTGGCAAAATACGGGGATGACTTGTGGCTATAGGTTTATAAAGAAAGAGTAAGAATCAATCGTCCGAGTATTGATTCTTCAGAGAATTTTACGCTTCATGCCTTTTGCCCAATAGGCGCGTGAGCGCTTATAGAAAAACTGGCTCATAACGGTGGAACCGAGAGAGAGAGAGAGAGAGAGAGAGAGAGAGAGAGAGAGAGAGAGAGAGAGAGGTCATGCAACCTGTGGTGTTGTGTGCGAGGAGGGGAGAGAGCGAGAGAGGAGGGCTACAGGTAGCAAGGAAATGCGTCAGATTGCAGCCATGATCTTTCCAGTATTAGCTGAATCGGTCAGGCCTGGAGGCAATGCCCATCCAAGCTCGGAAAAGACTCTTCACTCTCAGATCTCTAGTGTGCTTCCTGAAGTTGCAAACCACCTTCAGACGAATGTTTGCTCTACTATTTGGCCAGTCAAACTCGGAGATAGCTTGTTTTCCATGAAATCTATGTGTTGTGTGGGGGCCTCTATGGGTAGGGTACTAAGGGTGATACATCCTGTGGAACTTCGTCTAGCAGACGCCTTTTCGAAACTAGTTCTTAGTCATCTGCTTTTTCTCAGTAGTAGTTCAGAATCTGGCCTATGCACTCCTTGGAAAAGACTGTTCACTCTCCGCACATGAGTAAACCACCTCCAGATCTAGAGTGTGCGTCCTAAAGACGTTCAGAATCTGGCCTATACTAACTAAACTACGTAGGCCCACTCTGCTCTGCTGACTCTCATCTCACAGCGACCGACCCGTGTTATGGATGTCAGTATTTTGTAATACCGGCACTGACCCCTATCCTACACCATGATATCGTTTTTTTCATGATGGTGATTCTGATCTTCGTGTAATGAATGAAGCTCATCACACATGCATGTGTCGTTCTGAGGGCAGGCGTTCTGCACTGACGGCTGGGATTCGCATGTCTGCCTCAAGTGTGTAGGACATCGTGGATCGCAATTTTCCTTTTCTTCCTTGAAGAAATTGCAGTTCTCTCTTGTTTTTTTTTTTTTTTTTTTCAGAGTTTTGTGTTTTTGTTGTTTTATGTTTTGGTTGCGGTTTTGTTGTTTTATTTTTTGGTTTTTTCGTTTTTGTTTTGAAATGCAGTTCTTTGAACTTCTTTCCGTTTTCGACTCACGACCCTTCACCGACTGTGCCTTTCCGCCGAGCAGGGACCAGCGCGCCCATTGGCCATCATTTCATACTTCGGCGTTCAACGTTGCCCAGTCCTTTCACCACGCCGTGAGTGTCGGTGACTTGACTGGCTGTAATCGATCACCTCCAACATGCATCGGCG